AATTTCAAAGAATATATATTCACTATTATTAAATAAATAAAATTTAAATATTGTATTAGAGTTAATAATATATTAATAAATTAATAATATTATAAGTATTAATTCATTAATACTAATAATATATTTAAATTTTATATATTTAGTAATATTGAAATTATATTTTTATTCATGAATGAAATTTATAATTTGTATATCTTAAATAGGGCAATAGTTATATTATTTTAGAAATAATAATATACTAATATAGTAATAATATTATGAGTTAAATAAATTTTTAGTTTGTCAACTTTTTAAGAATGATTTTTAATCCCTCTTAAATTTTTTATAAACTTTTAGACCTTTATTAATTTTTTATTACATAAATTAATCCTTAAGATTAAATCTTTTTTATTAAATGATGATATGTGCTAATAAGTGATAGTTGACTTGAATATTAATATACACAATTTCACGTAACTCCTTAGTAAATATTAAATATAATACGTACAATTTTTTTATTGCTTGTGGTAAGACATGTTTTATAAAAAATATAAGACATTATTAAAATAATTTTTCACTCCTATGATTATGAGCATATAATAAAATTATACATATTATATGATTCAACATCTATTAACTACATATTCAATTATAAATAATCAAGTTAGTCATGATTTATTAATATATATCATCACTTAAAAAAAACTTAATTTTAATGACTAATTTATATCACAAAAAATTAATTGAAAACAAATAGTTTGAGGGACTAAAAGTCAAATTCTTAAAAAGTTGAGAGACTAAAAATTATTTAACCCCAATATGGTGTAACATGAAATGAGGTAGCAAAATCAATGACCCATTCATACACTTGACATGCAAGATTAATAGAATTATCATCATAAACAATGACAACTTCACCATTAGATACAATTGTAGTAGTGCCTTTAAGTACAAAAACTTGATGAAGATGGTTACCATAACTCTTTTGGTAATGGAAAATGAAAGTGCACCAAAAAGACTTTGGTGATACCAAAGGGAGAGAAATGAAATACTCTTTACTGGACATCAGCTAAGCTGTCTACACCTCTATTGAATGCAATTGAGAATTGGTTTACAAATTTATGGCATAAACATCTTAGTCACTTGAGTGAGAAAGGTCTTGATACTCTTGCAAGACAAGGGTTGCTTCCAATTGAAGGTACATCTCTTGAAAGGTCTTGATACTCTTGCAAGACAAGGGTCCATTTGAGCACTATTGAAGGGACAATGGCATCAAGCTTGAGAAGATAATCCCAAAGATCCCTTAACACAATGGGGTTGTAGATAGAATGAACCATGCAATTAATGATATAATTAGATGCATGCTTTCTCATGCCGAATTACCTAAAGTATTTTGGGATGAAGTTTTGAGAATTGTATTGGACTTAATCAACCTTTCTCCCTCTATTCCTCTGGATAGTGATGTTTCAAAAAAGGTGTGGAGAAGGAAAGATCCCTCCTATAGTCACTTAAGGGTGTTTGGCTACAAGGCATTTATTCATATCCCTAAAGATAAAAGATTCAAGCTTGATGGTAAGTCTAAATACCAAGGATCCCTTTGGAAGAGGAAAGTACTACACACTGCATGTTTATAACACCAAACAGAAATGCCTAATGCAAATTTTGGGCATGCTCTATCGCCATTTCAACACATTTGAGTGGCATTCTAGTTCTGTTTCATAATATCCCAAAGCTGTTTTGACAAGTTATCATACACTACAATCCAGCCCCAAACTCCAAGTAGGAATGGCCAAACTTTAACTCTAATACTAGGATCAACACCCTGCATCAAATTTAAAAATGAAATCAATTTCATAGAAAAACACCAAAACAACAAATTTAAAATCTAGATAAGCAAATTAGTAAACTCACTCCACTGCAAACTCTTTTCAAGAACTTAATTAAAAAAGTAAAATGGAGGGATATTAAGATTAAGATGCGTACCATCAACGCGCGAAGAGGGTCGGAAGCAGCGAAAATCTTGCGCTATGGTACAAATGGAGGAAATATCTGAAGATTTGAATCTAAAAAAGCAAACAAATTTGTAACTCACTAATTGGTAGCTAAAAAGCAAACAAATCCACCACACAAAAATTTGAATCGATGAAAATTTGGGATTAGGGTTTCACCTTTACAATCGGATTTGTGGTAGCGTTTCCCAATGTTAGCTTGAGTGTAAGAAGGCTAACCATGATTCTCCTTAAACCATAGTTAGTCTAGCTTGCACCACAAGCTTCTCCCTCACTATATAAGTCTTTTTCTTCACTTTGTAAATACTTTTGATGCATATATTGAGAGAATTCCAAAAATTGTTCAAATTTTCTCTTTTTCAAAAGTCTCAACCTCTTTGATTTTAATCCATTTCTCTTATCCTCTTCATACAAGAGTGTGGTGAGATTTGAAGTGGCTAATCTTCCTCCAATGAGTGGTGCCACTTGAGAGTGTTCTTCACCATTGAAAAAGAAATCCGAAGCTTCTTCCTCCATTGGAATCTTTGAATAAGCTTAAGGAGAACCAAGGAGCCAAAGGTCTATGGAGAAGCTTGAAAAGAAATCAACATCAATCTGGTTCCAAAGCAAGTTTTCATCACATCAAGCTTGAGAAGATAGTCCCAAAGAATTAGATGCATGTTTTCTCATTTCGAATTACCTAAAGCCTTTTGGGATGAAGCTTTGAGAATTGTATTGGACTTAATCAACCTTTCTCCCTTTGTTCCTCTTGGTAGTGATGTTTCAAAAAAGGTCAAAATCAATGACCCATTCATACACTTGACATGCAAGATTAATAGAATTATCATCATAAACAATGACAACTTCACCATTAGATACAATTGTAGTAGTGCCTTTAGCTTTATCTTCTTTTTTGTCTTTGCCTTTAACCCTTGATTTATCTCGCTTAAGGAACTTGCACTCTTTCATCAGATGTCCCATTTTATTGCAATAGAAACACTTAATGTCTTTCCTTGTCATTGACTTTCCTTTTAACTTGTTACGGTTATTATATCTATGAGAATTTCTTTGATGGCTTTTTCCGCTTGATTCCACAACCAAAACTTCATTATGAGTTGAAGAACTAGCCATTCCTTGTCCTTTTCTCCTAGTTTCTTCGTTTAGGAGACTATCTTTGACCATATTAAAAGTAAGCTTTCCATTAGGAGTAGAGTTACTTCGAGATACCACCCATGTCTCCAAATTGTCTAACAATAAGCTAAATAACAACAATGTTAATAACTCATCCTTTAATACAATCTCCATAGTATTCAACTGATTCACCAAATTTTGAAAATTGCTTAAGTGCTTTGCCATTAAAAAACCATCATTGTATTTTAGGTTTACTAACTTTCGAATGAGGAATGCTTTGTTTTGTGCATTTTTAGACTCAAACAACTCACTCAATTTCTTCCATAAGTTGAAAGGATTAACATCACTTGACACATGATGGTAGATGCTCTGATCTATCAATTGTTTGATCATGTCAATGGTCTTCTTATTGGTTTTCTTTCGATCTTCTTCAGATGGTTTGGTGCCATTAGCCTCAATGGGATCATTCATGTCTTTATAAAATAACAAATCTTTCATTCGAGACTTCCAAATAGAGTAATTGGTGCAATCTAATTTAATCATTGTACTAGAGACATCACCTTCACCCATCTTTAGAAAAGAAACCAGAGCCCCCAATTAGATCTTTGATACTTGTTGTTGGGAAAGATAACAAATAATAATAATTAAGCGAAAACAAAACTTGATCTTCTTTTTCCCTATATAAAATTATAATAAATATATGTGTAATTTTGGATAAGTTTGAACGTATATACATTATAAATTTAATTTATATATTAAAAATATCTAGGTGTAGTGGTTATTATTGTAGGTAAAAGAGTTGGATTCAATTCTCATCTATTACATTTTAACAAAATTTTAATTTTATTTTAACATGACACATCATTGTGAAGGTCAACATTGTGTCACACACCCAATCAAGCGCATGGGATTAAAAGTATAATCTTCTATTTTTTTAATTGAACAACAGAGGCACAAATTAAAGTGCCTCATCATTTTCCATAGTATATAGTAGTATAGATAATTTATTTTCATAATTTTCTCCTCAATTTCAAAAGTTGTACCTCTTTAATTTATTTTTATCTAATATAAAATCTCATCATTGATAATGAAAACATTTCCTATTATAACTTTCTCTGAAGATATAGTTTCACCGTTATTTAACAATGATCATGTTTTAATATCTTGTATACTTTTCTTTAGGTTTAGATAAATTATATTTTATTTAAATTTTCGAATACTCATACAGTGTACAGGAAAAAAATCCTATCTTTGTATGAAAGACAATATCAAAAACTCCCAAACACGATTCTTCTAATGGTGAGAACTGTGAATAATTAAGTTGAAAAGGCCAATAAATTATTATCATAAGGTAAACCAATTGATTTAAATACGTCTCAACCATCATATAAATAAAAGAAAAAGAATATAATGGCCAAGTATGCTAACTTACAGTATATTTAAGAACTTGGCGATGGTGCAGCCACGAATGTCAAACCACCTACATTATTAAAAGTAAGAAATTTCTACTAATGCAATTATTTGAAATGCATTAAAATCCTACCAACAGATATGTCAAATAAAATTTATTTTACTCGAGTACACAAATGAGATGATTCCAACAACAGTGGACGTAGAAGTCAGACAAAGACCATAATTAAAATGCTTGAACTTCCTGTATGAGTCTTGAAGGATTATCATCTCCAGCTGAGGAGGCATAAGGGTTCAGTGCATTCTGAGGGAGCCATGGTTCAGCAGCAATACCAC